TGATTTTTTCACTGGATTGAACGAAGATGGGTAAGTTCAGAGGAGTGGTGATAATAGTTGCCTTTGCACCATGTGAAACGAACAACTTCGCCATATCCAAAGTAGGAATTATGTGGCCGTGCGCCATCAATGGAAAGAAAAAAATATGGAGCTGATCATCAGCCATTTTCACAAACACTTGGTCTGCGTGGTTTAATATAACAATTTGTGCTATAAATGTACAGAGGATTTGATAGTAAACTAGATAAAGGTTCTTCAGGACATGAAAGAACTCTCTGGAATGAAAGAAGTTCAGCTAGAATACAGAAGAAAGACGTTTTCCTTTCTTAAACTTTATATCAATGTTAATAAAAAAATTCTACTATACAAATAATTCGTATCAAAGTTTAATTTTTCTTTCTACTACAGATATTCACTAAAAAACTAAGTTTTAATGGATTGTAAAACACTATTAATTTTTTTTCTATTACAGAAATAATTCGTATCAAAGTTTAATTTTTCTTTCTATTACCGATATAATTTTGTCTTTTTACTAAAAAAACTGAGTCTTAATTGATTGCAAAACACTATCAATCTTTTTTTTTACTACAGAAATAATTCGTATCAAAGTTCAGTTGTTCTTTCTATTACAGATATAACTTTGTCTTTTTACTAAAAAACTAAGTCTTAATTGATTGCAAAACATTATCAATCTTTTTTTTTCTACTAAAGAAATAATTCGTATGAAAGTTTAATTTTTATTTCTGCTACAAATATAATTTTGTCTTTTCACTAAAAAATTAAGTCTTAATTGATTGCAAAACACTATCAATCTTTTTTTTTCTACTACAGAAATAATTCATATCAAAGTTTAATTTTTCTTTCTATTACAGATATAATTTTTTCTTTTTACTAAAAAAAACTGAGTCTTAATTGATTGCAAAACACTTTTAATTTTTTTTCTACTACAAAAATAATTTGTATCAAAGTTTAATCTTTCTTTCTACTATAGATATAATTTTGTCCTTTTACTAAAAAAACTAAAGTCTTAATTAACTGCAAAACACTATCTTGCAAGATACTTAGGGTTCATGAATAATAAGCATAAATAGTTTTAAAATTAAAAAAGTTACGATAAAATTTAAATGACTTGTTTGGTTGACATGCTTAGCATATTGATGAAATAAGTTTGTGGGATAAGTTATCCCAAGATAATAAATCCTAGAATAATTAACTTTAAGTTACATCTTGGTCCTTCACTTAATAAGGCAATTAGCACCAGTTTTCACATAAAACGCTAGTCTAGCCAATGGAGGAATTAAAAATATAACAATATTTAAAATATAAAAAGGCTAAGAAAATTCAATATCTAATTTGAAGGAGTAAAAATTAACTTCTAATTCGGAAAGAAATATTGAGCTTACTAGAAATCGCATTATTGATAGCAGTTTTTATCCTTCTACCGACTTGGCTAGGCCTCTAATCTATAGCCCCATTTTGGTTAATTGCACGTGACCAATCGGTGTACTATTTTCCCCAAGACATGTGCGTCTCATGTTGCTTTGAAATAAAAGGCCACAAACTAGTTTACAATCGTCTAAGACAAGACTTACCGAGCTTAACTTTGCTATCTAGTGTCACCTTTGTTCTTCCAAGTTTTAGCATATGGATCAGCTCCATTTTTCCTTCTTATGGTCACATGATTCCTACACTTGACATGGCAAAGCTTAAGGCCACCATAATCACCACTCCTCTCAATGAATCTGTTTTCTCTAAAGCTATTCAAAGAAACAAGCAAGACAGAAATGAAATAGACATCGGTTTGATCAAATTTTGATCTGTTGAAAATGGCTTGCCAGCGTCCCCTACTGATGAATTGCTTAACAACTTCTCCATGGCTAAAACTATGATGATGAACAGCTTCTTCAAGATTGCCGCCCCAGCTGTCTTGTATCTGATATGTTCCTCCTTGGACCTATGACAGTGCAGTTAAATTTAACATTCCAACATTGGTTTTCATGGGACAAGCTACTTTGCACTTTGTGCCACTGATAGCGTCATGCCTTACAAGCCTTTCATGAATATATCCTCTGATTCTGATGCTTTTGTTATACCGAATTTGCCTCACCAAATCAAGCTGACCAGAACACAACTGGCCCCATTTGATTGAATTGAGGAAGAGAATTATATTTCGCGGTGATAAAAGAACTCATGGAGTCGGATTTAAATGGCTATGGAGTTATCTTTAATAGCTTCTATGAGCTTGAACCAGATTATGTTGAATATTACGCCAATGTTCTGAGTAAAAAAAACTGGGCTATAGGCCCGCTCTCGGTGTGTAACAGGGACATTGAAGATAAAGCTGAAAGAGGGAAGAACACCTTAATCTATAAGCATGAGCGCATGAAATGGCTTGTTCGAAGAAATCCAGTTCTATCATTTAGCAATTTTCATTGAAGCTTCTGGACAAGAATTCATTTGGGTTGTAAGAGCAGATAACGAAGAGTGTCTGCCTGAAGGATTCGAGGAAAGAACAAAAGGAAAAGGCTTAATCATAAGAGGATGGGCACCTCAAACTGCTAATTCTTGATCACGAAGCTGTGGGAGCTTTTGTCACTCATTATGGTTGGAATTCAACCCTTTCAGCTGGGTTGCCCGTGTCCGGAGAGCAACTCTACAACGAAAAGTTGGTGATTGAGGTTTCGAGAACTGGGGTTGCCATTCGTTCTGTACAATGGAAGAGAATAGACAGCGAGGGAGTGAAAAAGAGAAGAGAAGCAATAACAGAGGCAATAAAGAAAGTCATGGTGGGTGAAGAAGCAGAAGGACTCAGAAGCAGAGCTAAAGCGTACAAGAACGTAGCAAGACAGGCAGTTGAAGAAGGAAGATCATCTTACACTGGCTTGACTAATTTACTGCAAGATATAAGTGCATAGTTCTACAAGTAACTAAAGTAAATAAAATTAGTTCCTGCAACTCCACTACACAGTCTAAGAAAAAGATGAGAGCAAATAAAACTAACATGTGAGAAGTCTTACGTGTTACATATCTTTATATAATGTGTACACAAGTAGAAATATCTTCACACCAAATCAAACATAAAATCTAATTTTGCCCAATAAACGCAGCAATGGAGTCTCGAGTTGTCAAACTCTTGAGTTTTCTTACAAATTGTATTGCATTACGTAAATTATCCTTTAGGATCTCATACTACGACAAGTTTGAGAACTAACCAATGGTGGTGTCTGGCACCTGGGTACCATCCATATGGGGGGGCGCCTTTTATCAAATGTTTGCTACAACAGGGTGTTTAGACTCTGTACCATCTTTCTTGGATTTCGAGCTCACAAGCATCACGTTTATACTTACCAGAAGGTACTTGGGCAAAATAATCCCCTGCTTTCCCCCCCTTCTCCCAATGATGCCACACTTGGTACAGTAGGAAGCCAAGGACAAAAGAATGGAAGAGTACATATATATTACGTATAATACAGCAGCATCATGGCTTGACATGAACAAATAATTCGCACTGGAACCCAAGTGTCAGTTGGTATTGTCAGTGGTGCGTTTTATTTGAAGAGCAGCTCTGACAACATTGCCCCTTGTGATAATCCCAACCTTCACAATTTCAGCAAACAGGGCTTCATCAGAAATGACATGACGCTGACAAATTCAGTATAAAGGGAAAAAAAAAGAGAAAAGAGAACGAGAGGGCAAATTACCAGTTTACCATCAACATCTACAACTGGTAGCCGACGGTATTTCGTTTGGAGCAACAACCTATAATCAGCAGAGTATCTCATAAAGGCAACTTAATAGTTAAATTGCTGAATGAATAATACAGATTCTCATTAGGTGATAAGCAAGTATATTATAGTCAAGCAGCAGCAGAAAAAGATCAACTAGAGTTCTCTGCCTTACATAACAAGTCTCTTGCAGCCTTCCCAAATATATAGGTATAAAACAGAAAGAGGCATTAAAAAGAATTTGAAGGTTACCAAAAGCACTAGCTAACTGGAATCTTGTAACAGGTTATAATATAAAACAGAAAGAGGCATTAAAAAGAATTTGAAGGTTACCAAAAGCACTAGCTAACTGGAATCTTGTAACAGGTTATAATATAAATAAGCTGACCAAAAGCTTGTTTAATTACCTCGCAGCATCTTCAAGGTTGGTGTTTTCACAGACGGACAATGGACTCGGCGTCATGACATCACCAACAACTTTCCCATTAGTTTTGCTCAGTAGCTTTTGAACCTCATTGAATGTCTACAAAATCACAGAACCAAAGCAAGATACTTAACAAGATAAAGATGGAAAAACTAAACATAATTCATGGACTAAGAATTTCCTTGTACACTACAAATGACATGTATTTAGAGTAATATGTAGAAAGCTCTTTTCAGTATTTATTTTTTTTCTTTGTTGAGAGAGAGAATTATCTTAGAATACTCTAATAAGTAGGTGGAATCTTAACCCCACCCTCGAAATGAGAGCCAAACTCATAAATGAACGCTGGCTTGTAATATCAATCACTCGCTAAAAACTATATTCTAGCATGTTATCGAACATTGGCATCCACTATTAAAACAAAAGATTATAACATACCTTCCAAGTACTATCAACATCAGGAAACAGATTTGTGTCAGCTTGGCCAGCTCCTGAGTAAGAACATGAAATATATATGAAAATAGAAGAAAGAGGGAACTAAGGTGTAACTTCTACCAATAGAGGATAAATTATACTTTTAACAAGGGTTCAATTTAAGGAAGCATACAAAGAAATAGTAACCACACATTCATCAAAAGTCAAACTGGTTACTATACCTCTCTCACTCATCAGTCATTCGGGGAAACAGTTTATGCGCATAATTAAAAGCTAACCTAGATCTCAAAGTTTTCAAGTAGTCAAAGCAGATCTACTCACGAAATAGGAACCTAGCCTGATCTTTTTCTGCTTCTCTTAGCGGCTTAGCCCCACTCCTCTCCCTATTTCTCCCTTTTTTTCTTCTCTTAATTTCCTTCATTTATTTTTTTTCCTTCTAACGGCAGAAAACTTGATGTCCTATTGCTGGTAAAAGATTTATTGGATATCTCATTGGCTCATTGCCAGTAGCCCAGCAAACCCACGATAGACATGCTGTCGTTATCTATGAAAATGGCATACAGCAAAAATAAGGTACCTGCATGCGCTTTTCATTTATATTTGAAGAGTGTTATATCTTTCAAATTTTTTCTTTAGTAAATTTGTCAGCTGAATTTGAAAGGTGTAGCTCAGCAAGACTACAAACAATGTTTTTTTTTAGATTCAACATCGACTACAAACAATATTGAATCTGAACCTCTATCATCATTAAGGCAGGTGTCAACGAATTTAAGAATATAACAAAGCACTACTGCAAAAGAAGATTTTGATTACAAAAGCTTCCTGCTGTACCTTCTGGGAGCAATTTGCGGAATACTTGATCAATAAGGTAAATATTGTGTTCAAATAATACTTCTATTTGCAGAAATTGCCCAGACAATAAAGAATTTTCATGTTACTAATACATTAGAGGCATATGCGATTGTACAGTAGAGTGCCCCAGAATACAGAGAAATCCGACAGCTTTGCTTCTTTAGCAACAAACCCTTGATGGTATTGCTTGATTTCATAGTCTCAAAGCACTATATAGGTATTACTCATCTCAGCCCCTTCCCCAGGACTTGAATCATATTTTCACCAGTAAAACCTGAAAAACCAGAAGACCTGTCTAGATCTGTCAAGATTTTACCATTAAACAAGAAGAAGAGGACCTTGCTTGTTTAAAGTTACATGCCTCATTAAAAATTCAGAAGGCACATATCACTCATGCAGTCTCAGCAGAATGTTATGTGACCTTACCAATATTAGGGAAAAAGAGCATTCATAGCATCCATTCCTTTGCCTGCTTGCCTTCATTGATTAGACCTCCTGATCCTAGTCCTACTCCTTTTCCTTCATTCCTAGAACTAAGAAGGCATGTTCCTTGTACTTAAGCATTCAGTTCCCCGGTTAAAGTCTCAAAAACGCATGAAAGAGTAGACTTAAGAAAAGCAGGCTTCTGGATTCCTAGCTCCTATTAAGACTCAATTTTTTTATTCATAATATTCAACAACTCATTCAGAACTTTGACAGCTCTATGAATAGAATAATGAAGTATAAATATCATTATTAAGATTTTAAAAATGAGAACAACGTGACACTGATATATTTACAGATTCCATGTTAAGAGCGCTACTCCATCATAGCTACTTTTAATATTGCTCATGAGCATCACTTTGAAACATGGTTGTGACCAGAATACAGCATTTATAAGAAAAGTTCCCAGAAGAGTAATGAGATTGCAAAAAGTATAAATTTGTCAGAAAACCTCAATCATACCTGATATAGAGTCGAGTGCCAGTAGGTCATAATCAGAAACAACGCCAACCTGCAACAATGTCGCACCTTCTGTCAGTGCATTTATAGCTTGATCTAAAAGAGAGCATTTACAGAATATTAAAAATAAAAAATAAAAGAAAGGAGCAAGAGAGAGAATTTCCTTTTAAAAACAAAAAGATCAGGATAGCTGCCACATGCAAGACAAGTTGTCTAATATATATGATGAGAGAAATCATACTACAACTACGATAAAAGACTCCTAAAGAATAATGGACCTACAGTAAAGCATACCAACGTGGCTGAACCTTAAACCAAACTAGTTAGTATCGCTCATATGGATCTTTTACTCTAATTATGTTCTATACTCTGCATGAATTTCAAGAGAAGACATTTCTCGTAGCAATATATGATTACATACTTCTTATGCATCGAAGCGACAACGACCTGAATCTTCAGCACAACTTGATCTCAGTGGATCAAGGCAGAAACACCACTCTAACCACTTACAAATACCCTGTTGTATGCAAATAACTTACCTGCAACTCGACCCGAAATTGTACTTCAAGGCGAGCAACACGACACTTCCATTACAATGACTTGGACAAAGACATGTACCTTTGGGCTGGAGGTACCTGCTATGGTCAGAGACGACAAGTGTTGAAGTGCATACATCACATCTCATCTGGACTCTTGACTTAGAGAAGTTCAGCTACAATCTAACCGCAATACGCAGTAGCTTTACAGCATTGCCTCTTCAACCAATCGTGATGACCAATTTATGTGAATCAACGGTGCCTCTCGTACTAGTTCAAATTACTACTGAGACACTGTCATCAGTTGGTAAAATTTTGCATGTCTCACCCAAAAAGATTTTTATTATATCATGGATATATTTCTCCAAGTCCGGAAAAAGAAAAGGATACATACCCCAACTCTTGCCTTCCTACCAATCCACCACAAAGCTTCTCTATCCCAAGCCCAAACCCCGTCCTCTTCCAGCTATTGCAACTAGATATTTGTGAGCCAAATTGAGAAGATAGCTACTAACTAGTAAGAGTGAAAGACATCTCTGAAATATTTTGATGATCGTAATAATATTTTGGTAGTTTCAATTAGCAATAGAATTTCACATACCAGGAAAGCACCTTTATAAAAGGAACTGGAGAGAAGCGGAGAGCCCAGGTCAGAACACTAAGGTGATGAATGAAATGCCTTTCAGAGGAGAGCCTCCAGACATCTCCCACATTTTATCTAGGGATTAAGTTGCTTAAACAGTTTGAACAATACCAAAGTCAGACTAGAGAAGTCAACAGGACTCCCATTGGACTAGCCATATGACATTTCTTGGATTGACTAATCAGAAGAGTTGCCAGCACCCTCGGCTCATTGCTTCTTTATCAACATGGCTAACATGAAACTGCATGTTGTAAATTGTTAACATTCAGCTTACACTTGTCGCAATGAAGAGGCATCCAGGCACAGAATATCATTCCATTACAGGAATAAACTTCCCTCGCACCTCTTCATGGAAGAAGCCAAATGTGAAGATGATTTTCAAATGCCCCAAAATAAGGACATATAAAATGAAGGCAGAACCTTTCACAGAATAGTGATCCCTTGCTAGTACTTTTCACCCACAAAAATCAGACTTTACTTGTTTGCAGATGCAATCATGGAGGAAAATTGATATTTTCCCAGAGCTCATGGAATCAATTTACAAACATTGCAACAGTAACATAAATCTATTAAAATACTCATCATTCCAACATGGAAGATATGGACTATGTAAGCTATTAACATACATCTTTCCAAGAACTTATGGAAGTAATCTAAGAGGAATTACCAATTTCCAGTCATCATCAACTACAGGAAGCCCAGTAACTCTTTTTTCCACAAGCATCTCAAGGGCTGCAGATCAAATTGCAGAAATAAAGGAAAATAGAATTATTAACATCTTTACAGTTAAAGTTATTAAAAAAATATTTTCCATATGTTTCTTTAATTTAAAAACCAGGGAAGCAAATCCAGAAGTACCTTCACCAACTTTAGTTGTAGTTTTTACTACATGTAAATCTTCTTTCCTAGTCATAAAGTCACCAACCGAGTAATGTCCATCGCTTGGCTGAAAATTCATAAGTAACTCATTAGGTTGAGCAAATCAAAACATTGAAGAAATTTCTCCAATCAAAAAATAACTAGCAAAATAAGGATGGGTTAACAACATCAAAGGAGTTCATCTACCTCTACCCTGACCTCCCTCTCCTCCTACTCTTGACCATCGTACATGTTGATGCGTGATGTGACATGTTTCGATAATTGGTTAAGATTTAGCTTGTTGTATATATCAATGAAAAAATACGAAGTTGATGCAAAAGATAAGCACATGGTGCAACATACAAAATTATTTTATGAGTATTGAAAGCATTAACTACTGGAAGTCAAGCTAGACATGTGATGCAGCATACTAAATTATACTATGTGAGTGTTGCAACAAGTGTTAATTATTGTTATTCACAGTACTCAAATACCGTAACACCATAGTTCTGCTCAATCAACGGGAAACTAAGCCATGAATATTATCTAATATAATGTCAATTTATGTTATACCGTTGAAATTTATTCAAGGGATTTTGAAATCCGAACTTCTGAATTTGGACATAGAAGTTTTAAGTTTCTTGAAATAAAATAAGTCCAGTAAATTGCAAAAGTTAACTTAAAAAAGGCATGTACTTCTAATCAAGGCAAAACTTGTTTCACTCTCAAAATTTTTCAATTGTACCAGATAGATAAAGTAGTTTTCTTAAAGAAAAAAACTATTTCTCTGGAAACCAGGTATGGTACAGAGAGGTAACTCAAGTTAGTCGGATCAGCTCGATTAAAAAATTTGGTTACAATAAACGCGTCTGATATAACCTTCGGTGACATTCTCTGGTAAATCTGAAACATAACTAAGAAAAAAAGAATTAAACAACGAACAGTAAGGCGTCCACTTACAGACTGAGAATTTGAAGTAGAAGCAGCGGCATTAGCGGAGGTTGAAGGAAGAGACGCCGGAGGGAGAGATCGAGAAAGTTTCCGTTGAGATAAACATCGGCGAGATGTAGCAACGGCTGGATCTCCTGAAAGTGGACGAGGCGAGCAAGAGAGCGTGGTCGGAAAAAGGCGATAGTTAAGTACGCAAATCGGAGAAATTGAGTTGAAATTGAGAACGGACTCCATTGTTATTGAAGGATGAAAATGTTGGTATTGTTGCACAGTTGTTGATCTGATTCATTCAAAGAGAAAATATTGCGCGGAAATCGTGTTAATTAATGTGAACAAGGAAAAGAATCGTGAGGAAAGAAGAGTCGCTGTTCGACAGCGGAATAAAAAGCGTTGCGTGTTGAGAGTTCCCTTTACTTTTCTTATAACGCCGTGAGTCTGGGAGAGTGACCGTTACTCACAAACCGCCCAGGAAGGTCGGTGGGAATTAGGAGTAACATAACCATTCCATTATTAAGTTTGGGAAAAAGGATCGAAAAAATACTTTAATTTTAATTGTAGAGAATTTTTATTTGTTGTATGATGCAATAGTTATAGTAATTACTTGGACATTTATATACTTTTTTTAAAATTTGATATTAATTTAATAATTTTGATTAAAATTTAAATATACTTTATACTTTTTTCTCTAGATTTTTCTGATAAAATAAAATTCTAATTTTTTAATTTCAATCCTACAAAATAAAATAATCAAAATTCTATAACTTAAATAATCCGATCGTATTACTTGGCGCACAAAATTTTGTTAATCTTGATCATAATGTTGGTATGTTAGGATCATTGGTTTTTTTTAAAAAAAAAATTAAAAAAGTTCAAAAGTAACCATTCGTATCTGATTGAATTAGTTTTAAAGTACTCTTAGGAAATGTGTTAAAGATTTGATCAATTTATCCTTTTTTTTTAAAAAAAAATTAAGTACAAAAGAACGGGGTATAAAAGTTAAACTTTCAAAATAGAAAGAAGAAAGCTTATAAAACTTGTGATCAGTGTTTTAAAAAAACTTTGTTAGGGCTTTTCGGTGCTTGACCTAGGCGAGCTTGCATCCTAAGCATCTGAATGTACGTCCTCAATATACTCCATATTTAATTTTTGGGCTCGCCAAATAGATCTTACACGAATTTTGTGTTAGTAAAATCTTTAGTTAACATTGATGACCCTCATAATTCTTTAATAAATGAATGATACTTAATAATTTTTTAATCTATAAATATAAGATTGAGAGTAACTCAAGTAACAAGTTGTGTATCGCGTCTTTACTATTTAGTAACATAATGAAGGCAATTACATATTTATTACATAACATTCTTTTAAAAAAATAACTAGCAAAAAAATATTTTTCACACACATACATTTAACCTTTTTGTGTATAACTTTAAAAAGTTTGTATAAACGTGTTGTAATTGAATTTTGTATGATATAATTTATATAATGTAATTTATATAAAATATTTTGTATAGTTGTTTAAAGTTCATATATATATGTTTGTATTAATTCGTTATTTCGAGTTTTATCATATTTGTATAATTCAAGATTTTATATTACTCAACTATACAAAAAAAACACGTGAATTATACAAACGAGATTTAAGTTATACAAATTATTGTCCTCTCTCGTTCGCATCTTTCAATCTCGCTCTCCTTCCTCTCTCGTCATAATATAAGAATACCATTTTAAAATTATATTATTTTAAATTGTTGACTATTTTGTATTCTATCTATCCATTTTTATTTGTCATGTTACGCTTTTCGAATGTCAACTTGACTAATTTTAAAAGTTCAATTAGATTACATTAATTTGATATTTTAATCATAAAATTTAGATATTCAAAAACTATATGAAAAGTACTATAATCGCAATTCTTTTTGCATATCAATATGATGAAAGTCAAAGTTCTTACCGTTGACTCTTAAAATAAAGTAAATATAGCCAAAATTGGATTTTTTACAAATCATTCCAACCATGTTGGTTTCTCTTCAGTATTGATATGGTTCGGTAAATTTTTTAATTTTTTAAATATCACCTCAAAATATACTATTACTAAAATATTTCTTTTGCAAATATAATTTTGAAAGAGTACTTTAATTCTTAGTTAAGAAGAAAAAAATGTAAAACCTTGTTGTTGTATTGTTTAATCTTAAACATTTAATAGAATATAGGAGTGTTTGCATGAGTTTCGTTGTATTGTTTGATAGAAAATCTAATACAAAGTATCATTTAATTTCAAATAATTAAGTAAAGATTAATTAAAGAGCAAAAACTCAAAGTTGTATAATCACTAAATGCCTAGGGCCTACATTATATTTATATTTAAAATTTATTATAAAATACATTTATATATTAAATCTAACATATAGTTAATATATAAAATATATTTATATACATATAAGGTTATTCGATATGGAATTTGTTTGATATTTTTTATAAATTGAAAAGACCTACTCAATTATTCGAGACATTATATACTTGAATAAAAAATTATAATTTTATTAAAAAATAATATAAATTAATTCAATTCGATTAGGTTGGATTGATTTTTCATATTTTTTTACACCCCTTTAATATTATGTGCATATCAAACCAAAATCATTTTTGTTGACCATCTCTCAAGCTTTTTATTTTTGTCATTGATTTAGTTAGATTTGAGTCCTTCATATTATTATTATTTTTAAGTCAAATTTTATAATTCAAATAAAGAAAAACATCAATACGTAATATTTAATTTGTTTCCAAGTCCAAAACATTAAATAAATATAGTCAAATTACTATACTTAAACATAATAATAATCAGATTACTATTATTAATTATTTATATTACCATTCTTTAAACATAATAATATCACTATTATTAATTATTTAAGATAAAGTGAATGATTATTTCGTACATTATGGAGTGTTCTAGGATAAAAATCCAAACCAACATTTCTAAGCCCAATTTGGAATATTTTTTATTATTTTTCTTATTCTATTTATTTCGAAAATATTAAGAAATTACATAATTGGGTGATTATTCTGCTGATTATTACATAACAGGAACATTCATGATGTTGAGACGTTGTCACCCACACAAATACACAATTTGATGATAATTCCTTTGATTCCGTATTTTTATCATTTACGAAGGATACCTTTTTATATATATCGGGTACGCTTAATTCACTGCTTAATTTTGTTCATTTTTTTGCGTGTTAGAAGTGTATAAGTAAGTTGCCGAAGATGGAGTTCGATCGGCCTTGCTTTAGAGGTCGCCGGGCGGCGAAGGATTATGAGGGTAAAATAAATTTTTATGTACTTACTTCTTTTTTATGCCTAGACGTGATATTAAAATCAATTTTTACCCATTGTTACAATATCGATTAACGTAAAAAAATTAAATCGACATTCTTTGTACTAAAGAAAGCCCGTTGATATTCATATCTTGATTCTCATTCATTAATTTTAATTTTTTTGAATATAACAAATTTACGTCATTTTTGAATTTCGACTGTTGATAAATGTATAGAAAACCAGGGACAAAGCAAGCCCTTTGTTCGGTGAAATCTTTTCCTATTTATATATGATAAAATTATTTTTTATATATATATAATAAATGTTGATTTTTCTTCATTTAATTTACATATTTAGTTCTTTACATATTGAACCCTTATTAAAGTCTTAGATCCTCCACTAGAAATTGCCATTTCACTCGTACCAAAATAATTTAAGAATTATTTTTGCTTATAGTATAGCTTATAAAATAAAATAAAATAAAATAGATGAAGTTGAATGAGTCGCTCATGTAGCCAATAAGAAATCTCC